GCTCATCAAACAAATAGAAGGCAGCTTTCTCTACCTGATTAAAGGCATCTACAAAAGCCTAGAGCTAATATATTTAATGGTAAAGACTGGATATTTCCCTCATAAGACCAGGAACAAGACAAGGGCTATGGATGTCCATGCTCACTGTTTCTTTTTTCTTTTTCTTTTTGTTATTAGTCCTCATCCGATATACTTTTCCGCTGATTTTTAGATAGAGTGGAAGTGAGGGTGGGGAGAGAGAGAGAAAGAAACACCAATGTGAGAGAGACACATCCACATCAGGTGGATCCCTGACCAGGTCCAGGGATCAAACCCAAGACCCTCGGTCCACCAGCCGATGCTTTAACCTATGAGCCAAACCAGCCAGGGTGTGCTCACCATTTCTATTTAACATTGTACTTAGGCAGTTAAATGAAATAAAGGGCATCCAGATTGGAAAGGGAGAAATAAAACAACTAGCAGATGATACGATGTCATATGCAGAAAATTCTAAAGAATTCACCAAAATAAAACTAATGAAAAATTTCAGCAAGGTTGTAGAATACAAAGTCAATTTATAAAAGTCAACTGTAGTTCTATACAGTAGCAATGAACATTACAAAAATGAAATTAAGAAAACAATTTCACTTATAAAAATGTGTAAAATATTTACGTGTGAAATTATACATTTAAATTATATTTTGGTATAAATTTAACAAAAGAATTATAATATTTGTACACTGAAAACTACAAAACCTTGAAATTTCAAAAGATCTAAATAAGTGAACAGACATCCCACATTCACCTATCAGAAGAGTAAATATTAAGACAACCCAATTAAAAAATGATTTGTATCAACATCCCCAAAGATATACAAATGGCCGATAAACATATGAAAAAATGTTCAACATGTATCATTAGGTAAATGCAAATCATAATGATGAGATACTACTTCAAACCCACTAACATATATAAAATAAAAAAGACATAAGTGTTGATAAGGATGTAGAGGAATTAGAACCCTCATACATTGAGAATGAGAATGTAGAATGAGACAGTTGCTGTGGAAATCATCTGGTGGTTCTTCAAAATGCTGAACATAGATACCATATGAACCACTGTGCGTGTGTGTGTGTGTGTTTACATACACAGAGATCTCCAAAATAAAAACATAAAGAGAAAACTCAAGTGGCTATATTAATATCATACAAAATAGATTTCAGAGCAAAAAAAATACGAGATAAAGAGGAAGTCAATTCATCAAAAGACAGTCCTAAATGTATATGTACCTAGCAACAGAATTTTGAAATATATATATCAAAAATTAACAGAACGGAAAAGTTAAAGAAATCCACAGTTACAGTGGAAGATTTCGGTACACCTACCTCAGTCTCCAACAGAACTTGTGGTCACAAAATCAGTACGATTATAGAACTGAACAATACCATCAACCAAATGGATCTGATTCACATTTTTAGAGCACTTTACGTTCCCAAAGAAAGACCACATCCTGGGTCATAACAGAACTTAAGAAATTTAGAACTGAAATCACATAAAGTATATCCTCTATGATTATACTTGAATTAGACTAGAAACCAATAACAGAGATAACAAGAACATCTCCAAGCACATGGAAATGAAACATTTAGAAATAATTCATGACCCAAACAGGAAATCTTAAGGGAAATTAGAAAATATTTTGAACTGAATGAAAATGAAAATACAAAATATCAAAGTCTGTCGGATATAACTAGTCAGTAGGGATTAAAGGAAAATTTATAGAATTAAATGCTTATATTATAAAAGAAGGAAAGTCAAATCAATCATGTAAGTTTCTACTTTAAGATACTGGTTGGGCCCTGGCCAGTTTGGCTCAGTGGTGGGAGTGTCAGCCTGCGGTACAGAGAGACCCGGGTTCGGTTCCTACTAAGGGCATGTACCTCGGTTGCAGTTTGTCCCCGGCCCTGGTTGGGTCGTGCGGGTGGCAGCCACTTGATGTGTCCCTTTCACGTTGATGTTCTCTCTCTCCTTCCCACTCTGTCTGAACAAAAAATAGAAAAATGTCCTCAGATGAGGATAAAATAAAAAGATACTGGGTGGGCCCTGGCCAGTTTTGCTCAGTGGTTAGAGCGTCGGCCCACAGACTGGAGAGTCCCAGGTTCTGTTCCCGCTAAGGGCACATACCTCAGTTCCAGTTTGTCTCCGGCCCCGGTTGGGGTCGTGTGGGTGGCAGCCACTTGATGTGTCTCTCTCACATCGATGTTTCTCTCTCTCTTCCTCCCTCTCTTCCTCTTGCTCTATCTGAAGATAAATGGGGGGGGGGGAGTCCTTGTGTGAGGATAAAAAATAAAATAAAATAACTGGGTGGAATAGGGAGACTCCAAGCAAGAGAAAAGAAAGAGATTAAGAGCAGAAATCAATGAACTTGAAAAGAGAAAACTAATAAACATAAAGAGAAAACTAATAGATACAATATAACTGAAAGCTGGTTCCTTTAAAAAAAATTTTTTGCCCAGCTGGTGTGGCTCAGTGGTTGAGCGTCGACCCATCCACCAAGAGGTTGGCAGTTCAATTCCTGGTCAGAGCACAATGCCCAGGTTGTGGGCCTGATCCCCAGTGGGGGGCATGCAGGAGGCAGCCAGTTGATGTTCTCTCTCATCGATGTTTCTATCTCTTCCTCTCCCTTCCTCTCTCTCTAAAATCAATAAAGAAAAAAATCTTTTTTTCATTAAAAAAAAGCTAATAATCCTATAGTTGGGGATGGAGGCGATGAAAGACTATTAAGAAGGGAGAGAATTGGAGAGGTGACAGGGGACAAGTTATGGCCTTGTAGGCCATGTCATTTATTCTGAGATAGGCAGCCACTGCAGAGGAGTGACTTGACTTGAATGACATTTTGAAAAAGATGACTGGTTGCTGAGTGGAGAATAGACCGTAGCAAGAGAAGGATAGACTAAAGGAGGACCGCTCTAGTCAAGAGGTACTGGTAGCATGGACTGGGTGCAGCAGCAGTGGAGATGGTGAGGGTGTGTACAAGTCTGGATCTATTTTTAAGACAGAGACCATGAAATTTGCATATGAATTGGATATGGGTTGTGAGAAAACAGGATGACTCCAAAATTTTGGAGAATACAGTTGATATTTACTGAAATGAGGAAGATTGCCAGGGATAAAAGGACATCTGACATTAGATTCTGAATGTGTTAAGTTTGAGGTGCCTGTAGAATGGAAATAATTGGATATCGGAGTCTGGAATTCAGGAGAGAGGTTGGGGAAACATCATATTAAGAAAAGGTCATCAATATACAAAAGGTATTCAAGCTCATGGGATTTGAATACCACCAGAAAGAATATAGATAGAGAAGTCATCCAAAAGACTGCTCCCTAAGGCTCTCCAAGGTTGAGTTGAAAAGATGAGGAAGAATACAAAGCAATGGCAAATAATATCTCTCAGGGCTGTGTGATAAAAATGAAGTAATATATAGGGGGATGATACACAATAATTTCATGGCATTCTTTGAGGGGGGAGAAAAGAAGGGAAAGGGATTGGTGGTGATATTGATGTAACCATAACTTAATTCCTATTAAAAATAAAATACCTGAAACAAATATTGCAAAATGTTAGCATTCTTGGTGTATGGTACACAAGTGTTTTTATTTTCTGTACTTCGCTTTATGCTCAAATGTTAATAACTTAAAATGAAGAAGAAATGGATACAGTACTCCACAATCTCATGCTAGGCTGGGCTGGCTGCATAAGACTATACAAGCAGCTCGTTAAATGGATTCTGGAGCTCTATCCTACCCTCTCACTCAATCATTAGAGGTACCAGACGGGAATCTGGATTCAATGAAAACTCCAGATGATTCTGATATATAAACCAATTTAGGAATTACTGTGACTATTCTACAGATTCCTAACACAGAGTCCTATAAGGACTGCCACCTCCCTGTGGTCTGTATGGCAATCCTAGTAATACAGTCTATGATTGTATTAGCTCTTGGTGGGAAGACTGTCAGAGTTAGGAGACCAAGCTGGAGAATGATCTTCAACTTGTTATACAAGAGCAATTGAAGGGACTAAAAGTATTTGGCCTTAAAAGATCGGTAACAGTTGTCAAATGTTGCAAAGTAGGACATGGATATAGAATTAGAGTGAAGTTTAAATTTATCTAGTCACTGGGTAGAACCAATTTTGGGTCTAACAAAGGTTCTAACTTTTCAATAATTGAATGGTTTGCTTTTTAGAAGTTGTAGATGCCTGGACATAGAGGCAGTTAGGAGTGTAGAGAGGCAGTTCCTGCATTGACTGGAAGGTTAGCATAGATAACATGAAAAATCCCTTTTAATGCTAAGGTGTCTTTTTTCTTTGTGATTATTTTTTTGTTATTGCTTTCACACAAGTACATTTTGGTTTTCTGGTTTTTCTACAGTGAACGTGGAATTTTTGAGTAAACGTTTTTCTTTTTTTTCCCAGAAACAATGCTTATTTCTCCCCCTCCCCTAATTGTGTTTTTAGAAGACCTTTCTTTTCAATAAGGAATCTCTTTCCACCCCCTTATTCCTATCATGAATCCCATTTTACCAAGTCTGAGGGATACCTGTGGGGTCTTACTTTTTCTTGTTAATTAATTCTTTAAAGCACTAATACTCTGCATTTTTACAGTATTTCTAATCTTATTTCTGAGAACTGTAGGCTTCTCTTCCACTATAGAGTTGAAGGTTGAAAATTAAATTTGATCATTTTAAAAGGTCACTGACACTATTTAGAAAATATTAATTAATGAAATCCCTCACAAGGTGCCATCTCTCCTGTAAAGTGACAGTTTATACCTAAAGTATAACTAGCCTGCAATACATCATAACAAAAGTATTTGCTAGACAAAAGGATTCCTTGACATATTTGAGGTATCGAGTAGATACTATACTTTTAACCAGAGATTGAAAAAAAAGTTGTTTAGCAATTTATTTTTATAAAGCCATCCCACATTACCAACATTAATAGAGTTCTATTTTCACAGAAAAATTTTGAAAGATCTATCTTCTGAAGATACACGGGGCAGAAAAGGAGACGGAGAAAATCCTGGAGTTTCTGCTGTCACTTCTATGTCTGTTCCAACTTCCATCTATCAGACTAGCACCGGACAGTACAGTACGTATAGGAAAAAATATCCACCTGATAAGACATAAAAACTAACCTTTCCATGCAAAGAAATAGTGTGTAGAAAGACTGTCATACTTCAATAGTGATGATGATTGAGCCAGAATGCAAAGTACTTTTCAGCAGTGTCTCACTCCTTACAATTCGTGAGGTAGGCAGTTATCCATTTATGAGGGAACTGAGGTTTATAGAGTTAAATAATGTCCTTCAAGTCACACAGCTTATAAATGATACTTAGTTTAGGGTAAAATGTGTTTGACAAATGCATGGAATTGTCTAAACACCACTAGTGCAATCAAGGTATCAGCCCTAGCCAGGTGGCTTCCATCCCATACATGGAAAGGTTTCGGGTTCAATTCCTGGTCAGAGTACATACTTAGCTTCCAGGTTCAATCCCCAGTTGGGGTGCCTATGGGAGGTAATTGGTCATGTTTCTCTGTCACATTGATGTTTCTCTCTCTCTCTTCCTTCCTCTCTCTCTAAAATCAATAAAAACATATCCTTGGGTGAGGATTTAAAAAAAGATATAGTCCATCACTCCAAGAAATTCACTTGGGCTATCCGTTTGTAGATAATCTCTTCCTCATTCCTAATCCCTGTTCAAGTCTGATTGGTTCTTGCCACAAAATATGTGTTCAATCTGACCACCTCTCACCATCTCCAGTCATTACTACCACCTTGGTTTACACACATCTGAATTACTGCAGTAGGCCTCCAGTTGGTTACCTTGCTTTCATTCTTGTTCTAATCATTTTCCATTCTACAGCCAAAGTGATTTATTTAAAGTGTCAATTAGCTCATACCTACCACTCTTGCTCAGAATCCTGCAGTGATGTTCCATCACACTTAGAATAAGTCCTACAAGGCATTATATTCAGGATCTGGCCTTGCCTACCACTCCATCTCATCTGACACATGATGACATTCTGGCCACAGACATTCTTGCTGTTCCTTCAATACAAGAAATTTGTTTCTCCCTCAGGATCTCTGCCGTTGTCATCCCTGCCTGGCACGTTCTCCAGATCTTCACATGGCTTGTATCCTCACTTCTGCTCTGCTCAGGTGTCACCTCCTCAAAGAGACTACTCTTTTTAAAATATGCTGCTCCTCCCTTTAGTTTTATTTTCTAATTTTCTTATAGCAAAGTACATAGAGCCCTGGCCAGTTTTGCTCAGCGGTTAGAGCATAGACCTGCGATCTGGAGAGACCCGGGTTTGGTTCCTGCTAAGGGCACGTACCTCGGTTGCAGTTTGTCCCTGGCCCTGGTTGGGTCGTGTGGGTGGCGACCACTCGATGTGTCCCTTTCATGTTGATGTTTCTCTCTCTCTCTGTCTCTCTCTTCCCCTCCCACTCTATCTGAACAAAATATAAAAAAAAATGTCCTTGGGTGAGGATAAAAAAAAAAAGTACATAGTTCAATTATGTGATTATTGATTTGCATATTTATGAGCTAATATATGTAAGTTCCTTGAGGGAAAGAACTTTGTCTTGTTCCAGTTTTATCCTTGGAGTATAGGATTTGGCACATAGTAGGCTTTCAGCAAAATTTATTACAAATACACGATTTAAAGAATAAAAATAAAAGACTTCCTGAGGACACATAAGAAACGGGGAATAATGACTGCAAGGAAGGAAACTTGGGAGCAGAGATCAGAGGCAGTTGGGAGTAACACATAAACATTACTACTTCCCCCTACCCCCAATTTTTTAAAAAAATGTTTTTCTTTTTTTTTTCTTTTTGTTAATCTTCACCCGAGGATATTTTTCCATCAGTTTTTAGACAGACTGGAAGGGAAGGAGGAGGGGGAAAGAGAGAAAGAAAAACAGCGACAGGTTGCTTCCCGAATGACCCCAACTGGGGCCAGGGATCGAACCTGCAACCCAAATCTGTTACGTGCTTTTGACCAGTAATCGAACCCAAGACTCTCCGGTCAACAGGCCAATGCTCTAACCACTGAGCAAAACCAACCAGGGCTAATTTTAGTTTTCAGCTACCTTTGTTACTTTATATTAGTTTTGGGTGGACAGCATAGTGGTTAGATAATTATATAATTTATAAAGTGATCCCCACCTATAATTCAAGTACTCACTTGGCACCACGTATAGTTATTACAATATTATTGACTTTTCCTGATGCTGAACTTTACATCCCCATGACTATTTTGTAACAACCAATATGTACTTCTTAGTCCTTCACCATTTCACTCATTCCCCCAAACCATCATCATTTTGTTTCCTGCATCTCCCACCAAATTTTTAAAGACAATATATTAGCAAGTTAAAAATTATGATATAGCCTGGCTGGTGGCTCAGTGGATTGAGTGTCATCCTATGGGCTGAGAGGTCTCGGGTCAATTCCTAGTCAGGGCACATCTCTCTCTCTCTCTCCCTTCCTCTGTCTCTAAAAAAAATCAATAAAAACATATTTAAAAAAAAAAAAATGATGCCCCCCCCCCTTGTCCAGAAGGGATATGTTCCAAGACCCCCAGTGAGTGCCTGAAACCATGGATAGTAACAACCCCATACACACTGTTTTGTTCTATACATACAGTAAACTAGTATTTGGGGTAGCATGATCCAATAGAACTTCCTTAATGGTGGAAGTGTTCTATCTCTGCATTGTCCAGTACAGCAGCCACTAAGCCATGTTTGACTGTTGAGCACTTCAAATGTGGCTGGTGAGACTGAGGAACTGAGTTTTTTATTTTATTTAATTTTAATTAAATAGCACATGTGGTTAATGGCTACTGTATCATACAGGGCAGATTTAGAGTACATTCAACCAGATAAATACACATTAAACAAGAATAGGAAGATAAATTGCAAAAATGAAAGCAGTTCTGTATTACATATATTTAACATCAAACAATGTATATCTGTACATTTGTGAGTATAATTCCACATATTTTGATATAAATACAGCTAACCCTTGAACAACATGGGGTTTGGGGTGCTGATCTCTCATGAAGTAAAAAATCTGCATGTAACTTAATTACTAATAAATAATAGCCTACTGTTGACCAGAAGCATTATTGGTAACATAAACAATCAGTTAACATGTATTTTGTATGTTTATGTATTATATACTGCATTCTTAGAAGAAAGTAAGGTAGAGAAAAGAAAATGTTACTAGGAGAATCATAAGGAAGAGAAAATACATTTATAGTACAGTATGTATTGAAAAAAGCCCACATATAAGTGGACCAGTGTAGTCCAAACCTGTGTTTTTCAAGGGTCAATTATATATCAGTCTATGTGAACACAGGAAAAGATTAGGAAGGATGTGCACCAAAAATAATGGTTACCTCAGGGTGAGAGTAAAGGGTGGCCAGTAGAATAAATAGGGATAGATAATGGGACATTTTATTTTATTTATGTATTTATATAGATAAATGTATGTTGGGGATATATAATGTGTATTGAAGGGAATGAGATTGAAAGTAATTGCTAATATAAATTTAAAAACAAATCTCTGGCCCTGGCCGGTTTGGCTCAGCGGTTAGAGCATCGGCCTGTGGTCCAGAGAGACCCGGTTCGGTTCCCGCTAAGGGTGCGGACCTCGGTTGCAGTTTGTCCCCGGCCCTGGTTGGTCATGTGGGTGGCAGCCACCCGATGTGTCAATGTTTCTCTCTCTCTCTCTCTCTCTCTCTTCCTCTCTCTCCCTCCCACTCTGTCTGAACAAAAAATGGAAAAATGTCCTCGGGTGAGGATAAAAAAAAAAAAACTGTGCATGTAAACAATTTTAATGTCTTCTAAAGTTATTTGTACTGTGGCAGTGGGGGTGGGGAAGTATATCTAGAAACTTCTGAAAATATTTTTAATTAAAACACAGACAACTATGTTTTGGCTTCATGGTAGGCAAAGTGTAAAAGGGAAAAAATGTTACATAATTATAACCTGAAATATAGAGTTGAGGCATTAGATTCTGAAAGGGATTTATTATGTGGGAACTATATACTGCTAAGATGTTTTCTATTTGGTCATGCATCATGGGCATTTCATTTAAGGTTTCAGGGGAAAGCATTAACATAAGTATAACTCAGTGAGAAATGCTTGTGGGAGCTTAGTAATGTGATCTATATATATATAGTGGTTTTCTGATTACTTAATTTTATTGGTGATTTTTGCTAGGAAGTGACTGAATAGATTACATTTTTAAAATAACACTTAATAACATGTAATATGTTTAACAACACTTACCACTAGAGAGCAAGCAGAGCTAAGAAACAAAGTATGAAGGTTTATTTTTTCATTATGTAACCTTTTATCTTACTTGATGTTTTTTATGTGCACACTTCTATTAAAAATATTTTGTTGCCCTGGCCGGTTTGGCTCAGTGGTTAGAGCGTCGGCCTGCGGTCTGGAGAGACCCGGGTTCGGTTCCCGCTAAGGGCACGTACTTCAGTTGCAGTTTGTCCCCGGCCCTGGTTGGTCGTGCGGGTGGCAACCACTTGATGTGTCCCTTTCACATCGATGTTTCTCTCTCTCTCTCTCTCTCTCTTCCTCTCTCTCCCTCCCACTCTATCTGTACAAAAAATGGAGAAATGTCCTCGGGTGAGGATTAAAATATATATATATATTTTGTTGTTGTTGTTGTTGTTGTTATATTTTTATGCTTCTTTTGGAAAAAATTACGAGCTATATGAATATTTCCTTCTACTTTTTTTTCCTTTAAAAGCTAGCCATCAGTGCTCTCTTAGTGCTCCAGAATTACTGTGACAACATTAGCAATTAGCACTGAGTGGTCCATAGAGCACAAAATGTGTTTTGACCACTTATATTATAGAATTTGAGATTAAGATTAGTGCATCTAAACTATGTATAAAATTTTATAGCCCTGACTGGTTTGGCTCAGCGGTTAGAGCGTCAGCCTGTGGTCCAGAGAGACCCGGGTTCGGTTCCCACTAAGGGCATGTACCTCGGTTGCCATTTGTCCCTGGCCCTGGTTGGGTCATGTGGGTGGCAGCCACTTGATGTGTCCCTTTCACATTGATATTTCTCTCTCTCCCTCCCTCCCACTCAATCTGAACAAAAAATGGAAAAATATCCTCAAAAGAGGATTTAAAAAAAAAAAGAAATGCCATTTTGTTTCTTTTACATATAATTCACCTAAAGTGGTCCACAGTTGTTAAGTGGAATTGCTTTCAAGCCTGTTTTAGTAGTTTTTGGTTTTTGTTTTTCTTGAATCCTTTGCAATTAGTGTATTGTTTAGCCTTATAATAGCTATATTTTCTCTCTGGTTAAAGTTGCCATTGCCCCAAATGGAGCCTTACAGCTGGCCAGTCCAGGCACAGATGGAGTACAGGGACTTCAGACGCTAACGATGACAAATTCAGGCAGTACTCAGCAAGGTACAACAATTCTCCAGTATGCGCAGACCTCTGATGGACAGCAAATACTTGTGCCCAGCAACCAGGTGGTTGTACAAAGTAAGTATGTTTAAGTGTCTATGGAAAGCATCCCAAAGTTCCCTTAAAGACACTTATGAATTAACTCATTCTTTTGACCACACAGCTGCATCAGGAGATATGCAGACATACCAAATCCGTACCACGCCTTCAGCTACTTCGTTGCCACAAACTGTGGTGATGACATCTCCCGTGACTCTTACATCTCAGACAACTAAGACAGATGATCCCCAATTGAAAAGAGAAATAAGGTTGATGAAAAACAGGTGAGTAGTAAAATTATACTGCTCGAATGGTAATATTTTTGCAAATCTCAAAGCATAACCAGATTTAAAGTGGGATTGTATATTAGAAATAAGGAGAGAGGTTTATATCAGCTTTCTTTTACTGAGTATTTGATTATGTCTGGTTTACTTCTAATGGATCAGTGAGTCCCATTGCTCAGTCTCTTTCTTTAATATATGACCTAGAGTTCTTCCATTGTTGTATCCTTTGAATAGCACTGTTAAGCAAAGCTTTTCAAACAATGTATTTTGTTCTTGTTGGGCTGACAAAGTTAAGTGAAAATAATAATCTGCTATTTGCCACAGCAAGAAGAAAGAATTTAGTGGGATTCTGCCTAATACCTAGTTTACTTACTGACACAGAAATGTTCCTAAAAACAAATTTTGATCATGAAAATACATTAGTAATTTAACCCTGAGAAACATTTACTTTTTAAAAAAATGTATTTTAAACATTGCTGTATTGTACTATATGTACACCAGTCATGAAAAACCAGTGGTTCTTTGAGAAAAAGAATAGAATGTGTAGCCTTCTGCAAGGTGCTCAAGGAAAAAAAAAGAGAAAAAAAAACACCAATAAACTATATTAGGAACAAAAAATGGGTAAATAACTACCAATACAACAAATTTTAAAAATTACAATAGGATTCAATTTTCAGCTCCTCACCATTAAGGTAGAAAATTAGGATAATAGGATAATTTACTAGAGCAATGAAAATTACTATAAAATAACCTTATAGATGCATTTAATTCAAGATAAAATGTTTCTTTACTAAAAACTAAGAACAAGCATCACTATAAATGAACTTAATAACAAGGCAAAGTCTGTCATTTTGGAGGTTCCAGCAAATGCAGTAAGATAAAGAAATGAAGTTATATAAATATCAGAAATGAAATTTTATTTCTTTGCTTATGATATAACTGGATACCTAGGCAACCCAAAAGAGTTGTTTAAAGTTACTAGAATAAGGCTTCTCTTTCTGACAGTATGACCTTGGCTATGTAATATTTTTTAAGCTTGATGAAATATAAAAACCACATTTTTAAATGATTGGATGAACCTGCAGGAAAGTAAGAGAATTCTTTTGAGGTAAGGAATGAAGCACAAGACCATGAGGTTAATAAGCAGTGAAGCAGCCACTGTGTAACCTGGAGATGAATTCAGATCTTTGTGATTGGTGTAGCTTTAGTATGCAGAAGAGACTAGGACAGAGCCTGGGACTGTCTGTGCAAGCTGGGAAATTGATCAGAGGTTATTCTTCATGAGGTCAAGGTCCAGGAAGTATTATACCCATAAGCAGAGAATTATAATTTTTTTAAATGCTTTTATTTTTTTTTTAGAGAGAGAGAAACATCGATATGAGAGAGATACACCAATCGGCTGCCTCCTGCACACCCGCTACTAGGGATCCAGCTCACAACCTGAGCGTGTGCCCTGACTGGAAATTGAACTGGGGCCTCTCAGACCATGGGATGATGCTCAATCCTCTGAGCTACACCGGCTGGGCAAGAGAATGATAATTTTAAAATGGGTCCAGGTCCATAGTGCCCCAGCTGCTTGGAAGAAAGCAATCTCAACACAGACTTTAATAAATTCCCATACTTAGAGTTCTAACAAATACAAGTGAAAAATCACAGACTACCCAGGGAATTAGGCCTCCAACATGATACGTGCCAAGCCCTTATGTAATTTTCACAAAAATCTTTGTGGTATAAATAATAATATTCCCCCTCCCTTTTTTTTTTTAATCCTCACCCGAGGACATTTTTTTGTTCAGATAGAATGGGAGGGAGAGAGAGGAAGAGAAAGAGAGAGAGAGAAACATCAACTTGAAAGGGACACATCGAGTGGTTGCCACCCACATGACCCAACCAGGGCTGGGGACAAACTGCAACCGAGGTGCGTGCCCTTAGCGGGAACCAAACCCGGGTTTCTCTGGACCACAGGCCCACGCTCTAACTGCTGAGCCAAACCAGCCAGGGCTCCCCCTCCTTTTGAGATGAGGACACAGGTTAAGTTTACATTGCTTAGTAAGTAGTAGAGGTTGAATTTAAACTCATGGGTCTAGGTTTCAAAGTCCAGCATTTTAGATAATACACTACACCACCTTTCAGGAGCACGAGTCAGCAGGAAAAGCGACAACAGAACGAATTTTGTAAAATCTTCAGTTACTTAATGGAGAAAGGGAAAGTATATGTATTTAAAGGAATAAAAAGGATGTCTTTGAAAATCATCAAAGATCAAGAGACCATAAAAATGATGAAAAATTGGAAATGTAAAATAAAACTGTTATTAGCAAAGGTATATTCAGATGAATATCTGCTTAGAATATCCAGGAGAATCATCTACAAACTATTTATTTGAAAGCTTGAAAAACAACCAGTTTGTACCGGAAGGAAACCCTTGCCAGTTTAGTAAAACAAGAAAAAAGGGAAAAACTTGCAAGGATTTAAATGAAAGAAGTAAAACTATTACTATTTTTTATGTAATTGCCTATCAGAAAAAGAACCCAAAAGGACTTACAGGAAAGTTATTAGACATAATGAGCTTTTTAAAATTAATTTTTCTTAATCCTCACCCGAGTATATTCTTCCACTGCTTTCTAGATAGAGTGGAAGCAGGAGGGCAGAGAGAGAGAGAGAGAGAGAGAGAGAGAGAGAGAGAGAGAGAAACATTGATTGGTTGCCACCCACACAACCCCCACCAGGGCCAGGATTAAACCTGCAACCCAGGTGCATGCCCTTGTCCAGGAATTGAACCTGAGACCCCTAGGTCCATGGGCCGACGCTCCAACCACTGAGCCAAACCGGCCAGGGCCGTAATGAGCTTTTAAAGTTTCTAGATATAAAATCAGTTTTCAGAAGTCAATTGTAGTTCTTTACATCAGCAATAAAGAGTTTGGTAAATAATTATTTAAAAGGCATCATTTATGTTAACAAATAAAATACCTGAAAATAAATCTAACGAAAGATGCCCAGGATATTAATGGAAAATATTATAAAATGTTTTGAAAGACATTAAGAAAGATCTAAATAAACAGAGAAATATACTATATCCATAGATACAGAAACTCAGTATTATAAAGATGACTATTTTTTCCTCAATTGATCCATAGATTCAATGCAGTTCCAATCAAAACCCAGAATGGTTTTTTGAAGAACTTGACCAGTTGATACTAAAATTTATAGAAGAGTAAAGGGCCAAGAACAGCCAAAATATTCCAGACAAGAATAAGGTGAGGAGATAATCGAGCTTTATTTAAAGGTGTGGTAATTAAATAGTGTGATACTGGCAATGAGATAAACAGAGTGACCAGTGAAACGAGAGCTCAGAATCAGGTCCACAAACACAGGAAGCCGTGATGTGATGAGCAGCGCAGATTATGCAGGAAGGAGGGACTTTTGAATAAATGCAACTAAGATCATTCATTATTTCTATGTGAAAAAATACTGGATTTCTTCCTTGCACCATACACAAAAATAATTCCAGATGGATCAAAAACATAAAAGATGAAATTTTAAAACTTTTAGGTGAAAATATAGAATCTTAATGGTTTCAGGTATAGGGAAAGATCCCTTAAACAAAACAACACACAAAATAAAAGATTAATGAATCTTCATTAAAATTAGTAACTTCTTTTTTTTTTTTTTTTTTTTTTTTTTTATCCTCACCCGAGGACATTTTTCCATTTTTTGTACAGACAAAGTGGGAGGGAGAGAGAGGACGAGAGAGAGAGGGAAACATCGATGTGAAAGGGACACATCGAGTGGCTGCCACCCGCACGACCAACCAGGGCCGGGGACAAACTGCAACCGAGGTACGTGCCCTTAGCGGGAACCGAACCCGGGTCTCTCCGGACCACAGGCGGACGCTCTAACCACTGAGCCAAACTGGCCAGGGCAAAATTAGTAACTTCTATTAAATGAGAACATAAAGTTAAAATACAAGCTTCAAACCTATCAGCGATATTTGTAACATTTAACCAAAAAAAGATTTGTTTGGAAAAAAATATAAAGATCTTCTAAATAAGAAAAGTACAACCTGACAGAAAAAAAAGTTGTCAGAATATATAGGCATTTCTCAGAAAACACAAATCATTAATAATCACATGAAAGATTGCCCTTGTCAGTAATCAAAGAAATGTAAATTAATACCATACACTTAGGTACCATTTGTCCCTACCCAATTGACAAAAATCTTAAAGTCTAATCAGGAGCTGGCAAGGATTTGAACAATGGAACTCTCATACTGCTATGGGAGTGTAAATTGGTGCAGCCACTTTGGAATTTAATTGACCCTTATCTTGTACAGTTGACCTGGATATGCCCTGTGATTCAGCTGTTTCACTCTGTGTGACTGAGACAGAGTCTTTTGTAGGAAATATGCATAAGAATGTTCATAGCACAAAAATTGGGAAATAAACCTAATCATCCATATCAGAATGGGTACATAAATTGTAATTCATTTTATACAATGTAATAGTGTTCATTTGTAATGATGGAGTGATCACAATAACATGAATAAATATTAGAAAACAAAAGTTGAGTGAAAAAAGCAAGTTGCAACAGCATACATAAAGTGTGATATTTTACAATAAATTTTAGAAAACTAAACAATGATACATAACTTAGGGGCATATACATATGTACTAAAACTATAAAATAAGCAAAAGATTGAAGCTAGTAATTGCTTCTGGGCAAGAGGCAGGGGTGTGAATGGAATCAGAATAGTAGAGAGGGTCCTTCAACAGTGTGGATAACATTTTCTCATAGTAAGCTGGGTATTGGGCTTATATGTGCTCATTTTATTATGCCTCATAACTTATATCTACATCACATACAATCGTTTATGTGTACTACTTCATTAAAATGTTTTAAATTACAGTAATTTATAAGGAATTTAATAAGTTGTTTTTTTTTTTTACTATGAATTACCATTTTGAAAATAATGGGAAGTAATATTACATTCAGGTTAGTGATGAAAGTCATAAAGTACTTAGTAAATTTAACAGGAAAGGCATAGGATCTACATTTAAAATTTTTTATTGAGAGGTAAAACAATATCCAAATGGACAGCAAATGCTATGTTCTCTGATGAAAATAATTAAGATATTCTTCCAAATTCACATATACATGTAATGTGTTTAAAATTAGAATTTTTGGCCCAGGCCGGTTTGGCTCAGCGGTTAGAGCGCTGGCCTGTGGTCCTGAGAGACCCGGGTTCGGTTCGCGCTAAGGGCATGTACCTCGGTTGCGGTTTGTCCCCGGCTCTGGTCAGTTGTGCGGGTGGCAGCCACTCGATGTGTTCCTTTCACATTGATGTTTCTCTCTCTCTCTCTCTGTTCCTATCTCTCTCTCCCACTCTACCTGAAAAAAAATGGAAAAATGTCCTCAGGTGAGAATAAAAAAAAAATTAGAATTTTTGTAGATCTTTATAGAACTGGACAAAATAAGCTAAAAGTTTACAAGGAAGAAATAAGTATTCAAGAGTGGTCAAGAACAGAAAGAGGTTACTTTGTCTTGTTAGGCATTGGAACATACTCTAAAGCCATTGTAATCAAAACTTGGTATCAACAAAGGGACAGACAATAACATTAGCAAATGGCATAGAGAGGCCAGAAATAGCTTGTGCTAGTTAAGTATACTTGTGAAGGATGGCTTATTTAATAAAAGATACACAATCAGCCCAGCCAGTAAAATCAGTAAAGAAGAAAAAAGATAGTACCCAGCTGGTGTAGCTCAGTGGCTTGAGCATCGTCCCATGGACCTAGAGGTCCTAGTTCCATTCCCAGTCAGGACACAAGCCCAGGTTGCAGGCTTGATCCCCAGTAGGGGGCATGCAGGAGGCAGCCGATCAATGTTTGTCTTTCACATCAATGTTTCTCTCTCTCTCTCCCTTCCTCTCGTTCTAAAAAAATCAATAAAAACATTTTTTTAAAAAAGACTTGAGCCCTGGCCGGTTTGGCTCAGCAGTTAGAGCATCGGCCTGCGGTCTGGAGAGACCCGGGTTCGGTTCACGCTAAGGGCATGTACCTCGGTTGCAGTTTGTCCCCGGCCCTGGTTGGTTGTGCAGGTGACAGCCACTCGATGTGTCTCTTTCACGTCAATGTTTCTCTCTCTCTCTCTCTCTCTCTCTCTCTCTCTCTCTCTCTCCCTCCCTCCCACTCTATCTGTACAAAAAAAGGAAAAATGTCCTCGGGTGAGGATAAAAAAATAAATAAATAAAAATAAAATAAAATGAGACTTGAACCTGGCCTGTGTGGCTCAGTGGTTGAGCGGCAACCCATGCACCAGAAGGTCGCCAGTTCAATTCCCAGTCAGGGCACATGCCCAGGTTGTGGGCCAAATCCCCAGTGAGGGCCATGCAGGAGGCAGCCAATCACTGTTTTCTCTCATCGATGTTTCTATCTCTTTCTCCCTACCTCTCTCTCTAAAATCAATAAAGAAAAAAAAAAAAAGACTTGATTGTGAAAATTAAGCAATAAAATTCTAAGATAAAATTTAGAGAGAAATATGTAGTGCACGGCATTTTAATTTAAGCCGAGGAAAGAGAGACTAAAGAGCACTTATGACACCAGATATAAAAATATGAGAAGTCAAATGATAGATTAGAAAATAATGATAGATTAATAATAACGTAACCTGGCTGTTTTTTCTCATTGGTTAGAGCATTGGCCCAAGGACCAAAGGGTTGTCATAGGTTTGATTCCGTCAAGGGCATGTACCTTGGTTGCAGGTTCGATCCCCAGCCCTGGTCAGGGTTATGTGGGAGGCAACCAATTGATGTCTCGCCTGCATCAATGTTCCTCTCTCTTTCTCTCCCCCTCCTCTCCCCACCTCACTCCCCCATCTAAAAAAAAAAAAAAAAATCAATAGAAAAATATCCACAGATGAGGATTAACCAAAAAAAAAAAGAGACCACACACCAGAGTACATATTTATAACTGTTATATGAAGTTCTAGATTAGAAAAAATTTCATTTTTGGTGATAAAATCAGAACAGTAGTTGCTAGAGGAGAGGACTCACCAGGAATGGGCATGAGAGAACTTTCTGGCGCAATAAAAATGTTCTGTGCCTTGCCCTGGCCAGTTTGACTCAGCAGTAAGAGTGTCGGCCTGCGGTCCAGAGAGACCCGGGTTCGGTTCCCGCTAAGGGCATGTACCTCGGTTGCAGTTTGTCCCCAGCCCTGATTGGGTCGTGCGGGTGGCAGCCACTCGATGTGTCCCTTTCACATCGATGTTTCTCTCTCTCTCTCTCTTCCTCTCTATCCCTCCCGCTCTGTCTGAACAAAAAATGAGAAAAATGTCCTCGGGTGAGGATTAAAAAAAAAAATGTTCTGTGCCTTGATAGGTGTGTGGGTTATTCAGGTATATGCATTTGCCAAAACTGAATTCTACACCTAAGATGTATATTTCACTGTCTGTAGATATCTTAATTTTTTTAAATGAGATAAAAAAGATGAGCAGGGAAAATTACTAAAGTGCATTTACCACTTTAAAGAAAGTGAATTTTTTCCCCTAACATTGGTTTTTAATGTTTCTATTCAGAGAAGCTGCTCGAGAATGTCGCAGAAAGAAGAAAGAATATGTGAAGTGCCTGGAAAATCGAGTTGCAGTCCTGGAAAATCAAAATAAAACTCTAATAGAAGAGTTAAAAACTTTGAAGGATCTTTATTCCCATAAAAGTGTTTGATTTTTGAGAAAGAAAATATTTTGTGGACTTGCCTAAAAATTAGATGGATTTTTTTTCTTTTTAGTGGCGTTTTATAAATTAAAAGGTCAAAAATGAAGCTTTTATTTAGGCTTTTGCAACTCAAAGATAAATGTCTTATGCAAGAGATCTGGTGACCAGAGGATAAAGTGGAAAATGACCTCAAGGAAGATACTGGCACAACTGGAAGCTCTGTAAAAATGAAACATACTCAAGCAGCAGGAAATGAACATTCACCAATTTGAATTTTCTAAATAATGGTAGTTTGTCAATAATCCAAAATGGCAGATAAAAAAAAAATGAAATTTGGTAAATTTAAAAAAATAAATCAATTTATCCTATAGGTTTGTATTTTGTACTGTTTCCTAAAATTTACTTTTTCAATTGTGTGTTTGTGTGTGTGTGTGTGTGTGTGTGTGTGTGTGTGTGTGTGTGTATTTCTGCCAATAAATTCTAAATTACCAATATAAAAGAAAAACTAATGCATAACTAAATAATTATGTATTCTGATTACATATACTTGTTCTATTGTCAAGTCTTTTAAATGGGTTTTTTAGTTTGTTTATTGGACTTGAGAGCATTTTTTAAGACTGGGTTAAACTATTTTTGAGGGCTTGTCCTAATAGGCATCTAAGGTACATGAATGGGGTTGGTGTTTTTGTAACATTTATTATCAGAATGGAAAGAGAACTGTTTAAAAGTTTGACACTTTTAAATTGTTTTGGGATTATTCTGGGAATGGTGATTTTCTACAAATATATAACAGATTTTTTTTTGATTCTATATTCTGTATGCAGTTGAATATACATTACTTATTCTGTTGTGCTTTAATAGACTGGAATGTTTACAGGCCCTTGAGGTGATATTAGATTCTTTTTTTTTAACTTTCTGAAGATGCATACCAAAGTTTTCCAAAAGGATTTTATAATCGATTTAAGGTTTATCAGATTCTAAAATAGTAGTTATTAAAGCAATTTTATGTTAGAGACTATTTTGTAACGTAGTGAATGGTACATTTATAAAAGTGACTGCCAATATATTTTTATAGCTAATCTTTATAAATTCTAAAGTTGAGTTTTTAATGATTATTTTAAATGTTTATATAGTTTGTTTAGTAAAAAAAAATATTTTGCATCTCAAAGTATCGTTTTTATATTATGGGAAGTAAAGTTTCAGATTGGCTAATATCTGAATTCTAAGTTTTGTATGCAGTTTTTCCAAAGTTCACAGTACACCAGTGTTTAACTTCTGTATTCCAATTTCTATACACTTTGAAATTGTACTGCAAACCCATTGTGCGCTTCTTATACAATATGTATCATATTGTCTATGAAATTAAAGGACATTTGATAAAATTTAAGTTTGCTGAATGTAAAATATATTGCTTGATATATAAATGACAGGCTTCTTGATAGCCATTCTGTTAATTATACTAAGTATAATGCATTTCTAGTTTTAAAATGAGGATAAGTGTACAATTCTGGTCTACATAACCTATTTTAAGAGGGGATATGCCTGTATGTTTTGATTCATTCAGAACCAATTTCAATAAACTAAAGATAGTGAAACTTTTTGTTCTACCAGTATTTAGGAGATGGTTAAGGAGCCTGTTACATAGAAATCTTAACACAATCAATAAATGTGTGTTTAATATTAATGAAATATTTTATTAACGGGGTCTTTTAAAATGGGACTCCATTTACTAGGCAGCAGCTTATGAGAAGAAAAAAAGTTTGGTCACCATTGGGATTACTTACATCACTTACTATCTTTGTAAACCCAGAGTCTTAAACTAGTGTCCCATCATTAGCTTGAAGAATAGGAGAGGTAAGGGATCATCACTGGGTTATATCGAGAGTTTTTTAAAAGATAATTTATTGGGTGCATGTCATGCTTGGTTGCAAAAGAGATAGTCGAGTCCTTAGTGCCTTAACAGCTGGATATCCACAAACATTTGTAAACTGTCCACTGCCTGCAGACTTATGGTGTAGGGCCTTGCTCAGTAGATCAAGTTACCTGGTCTTGCTGTATGTAACAGACATGGGCAAGCCACTGAGGATTCTGTTAAGTGCATACCATATTAATTCTAGATATTTTCCTAATTTGAATCCAATGTCAGGCTTATGGAATTTTAAAGGTGATTATCACCCACACCTGAATTTGTCTTCAAACATTCAATAGTCCAGTACAATTACTTTCCCAGCTCAATTTACTATCATATAAATTTATCATCAATTTATTAATTTATACATTATATTGATGGAAACACTTTGCCCACGAACACATCTTGAACATATAAAATAACCCTCTAATTTTACAGACCAAGCATGAACAATGGGCATGTGTTAGAGCTTCAGAAATTTTACTGCATTTGTTTATTCTTTCAGCAATTATATCAAATTTGCTGGTTAAACCTGTTTTTCCCTCCAGTTAACATGTGGACACAGGGAGGATATAAAAATATGTATTATGGCCCTGGCCGGTTTTGCTCAGTGGTTAGAGCATCGGCCTGCAGTCCAGAGAGACCCAGGTTCCTTTTTCCTCAAGAGTGACAGGACATTTACAGTAGTTTCCTGCCTATGATAGTATATATTAACAGTTTTTAAGTGGTAAGTTATGTGTATTTATTGAAGGCCTTTTTCATGTCAACCATTACTAGGAAAAAAGTGATGAACAAAGGCAGTGTTATAGCTCTTGTGAAACATCTATATTAATGTCATCCTGCTGAGATTAGTACTTGCCTAAGGTTATATGAGCATTAATAACTAGGGATGTGGCAATCTAACAAGAGGACATAGCCCTTGAAACATTTATGTCTCAGCATAGGAGCACCTAAATATATAAAAGCAAATATTAATGAACATAAAAGGAGAGATTGACATTAATAGAGTCATAATAGGGGATTTTAATACCCCATTGATATCAATTATAGATCTTCCAGACAAAAAATCAAGGAAACAGTGTCCTTACATGACACATTACACCAAGTGGATTAATGGATATTTTCAGAGTATTTCACCCCAAAGCAGCAGAATATGCAGAAAATACACATGGAACATTTTCCAGGATAGACCATATGTTGGGACACTAAACAAGTCTCAATTAATTTAAGAATACTGAAATACCATTCATCCTCTCTGACCACCATGGTATGAAACTAGAAATCAATTATAAGAAAGAAAAAAAAAAATGGAGGCTAAATAACATGTTACTAAACAATGACTAGGTTAACAGATTAAGGAAGAAATCAAGATTATTTGAGACAAATGAAAGTGAAAACACAACAAAAGCAGTCCTTAGAGGGAAAGTCATAGCAATACAGGCTATGTATTGTTTCTCAGGAAACAAGAAAAATCTCAAGAAATCTAACCTTACAATTAAAGAACTAGAAAAAGAACAATAAAACCCAAAGAGTATAGACAAAAAATATTAAAAAATAAATAAATGAAATAGAGTCTAAAAAAAATCAATGAAACCAAGAGTTGGTTTCTTGAAAAGATAAACAAGATTGGAAAACCTTTAACCAGACTCATCAAGAAAAAAAGAGGACCCAAATAAATAAAATCGGAAATGAAAGAGAAGTGACAACTGATACCCCGGAAATGCAAAGGATTATAAGAATATTACAAAGAAAATAAATACACCAAAAAAATAATATGTCAACAAATTGGACAATCTGGTCAAAAGGGATAAATTCCTAGAAACATAATCTTCTAAAATATATTAAAGAAGAAACAAAATATGAACAGACCAATTACAACCAACAAATCAAGACAGTAACAACAAAAAAACTCCCAACACTAACCCTGGCTGGTGTGGCTAAATTGGTTAATCATTGTCCCATGAGCCAAAAAGTCGTTGGTTCGATTCCCAGTCAGGTCACATGTCCAGATTGCGGGCTCAATCCCTAGTCAGGGTGTGTGTGGGAGGCAGCCAAACGATGTTTCTCTCTCACATTAATGCCTTTCTCTCTCCTTTTCCCTCCCTCTCCCAACAAAAAAGTCCTGGACTTCCCAGGTGAATTTTCAAAGAACTAACACCTATTCTCAAGCTATTCAAAAAAATTCAAGAGGAGGGAAGACTCTCAAGCTCATTTTATAAGGTTGGCATTATCCTAATTACAAAAGCAGATAAAGATACTACAAAGAAAGAAAATTATAGGTCAATATCCCTGGTGAATATAGGTACAAAAATCCTCAACAAAATATTAGCAAATCTAATTCAGCAATACCATAAAAACATCATACATCATGATCAAGTGGAATTTATTCCTGGGATGCAATTTAGATACAATATCTGCAAATCAATTACCGTGATATACCACATGAACAAAATGAAAGATAAAAAGCATATGATCATATCAATAGACCCAGGAAAAGCATTTGAAAAAATACAGTACCCATTTATGATAAAAAAACACCTTCAATAAAGTGGGAATAGAGGGAACATAGTTTAACATATAAAGGCCATATATGACACAATCACAGCTAACATCATATTCAATGGGGGAAAACTAAAAACATTTCCCTTAAGATTGGGAACAAGACAGGGATGTTCACTTTTACCACTCCATTCAACATAGTACTGGAAGTCCTAGCCACAGCAATTAGACAAAAAGAAGAAATGAAAGGTATCCAAATTGGAAAGGAAGAAGTAAAATTATCATTATTTGCAGGTGACATGATACTGTATATGGAGAACCTTAAAAGATTCCACACAAAAAACTACTAAAACTGATAAATGAATTCAGTAAAGTATCAAGAAACACTTCAAGCCAGAAGTGAGTGGCATGAAGTATACAAAGTAATGAAAAGCAAGGGACTGAATGACTAAATCCAAGTCTACTCTATCTAGCAAGGCTATCATTCAAAATTAAAGGTGAAATCAAGAGCTTCGCAGACAAAAAGAGGCTAAAGGAGTTTATTAACACTAAACCAGCAATGCAAGAAATGCTAAAAGGTCTGTTGTAAGAAGAAGAAAGAGAAAGAGACAGAGAGAGGAACACAGGCAGAAAGAATAAAAATGGCAACAACAAAAATGCCAATCAAGGTAAATGGCTTAAATACTCCAACCAAAAGACATAGGGTAGCTGACTGAATAAGAAACCAAGACACCCACCTCAGAACAAAAGACTTGCACAGGATGAAAGTAAAGGGATGGAAAAAATTTTTTTTTCATGAAAATAGAAATTTAAAAAAAGCTGGGCTAGCAATACTTATATTTGATAAAACAGACTTCAAAATGAAGGCCATAACAAGAGACAAAGAAGGGCACTACATACTATTAAAGGGATCAATCTAACAAGAGGATATAACCCTGGTAAACATATATGCACCCAATATAGGAACACCAAAATATATTTTTAAATTGCTGGAGGACTTTAAGGGAG